TCCATCCATTGTTTCTTGTCTTCTGGTGCTTTGGAGAATAGGTGGACCCCCCTCCTCTTTGTGGCAGCCCCTCAAATATTGGAAGACTCCTATCATGTCACCCCCTGGTCCTTCTTTTCTTTAAATCAGGCATACCCAATTCCAGCAAGGCTTCCTCATACCAAGTTGTTGGTCCCTCTTGCTGGTCATTCAGCTGACGTCCAGCTGAAATCTCCTTCCTTGCATTTTGAACCTTATAAAGGTAGTCCTCAACTTACAACAGTTCATTTAGTGACCATTCCAAGTTACAACGGCCCTGAAAAAAATGACTTAAGACCGTTTTTCACACTAATAACCATTGGGGTATCCCCCTGATCACGTGATCAAAATTCAGACAACTGGCTCATATTTATGACCGTTGCAGTGTCTCCCGGGGGTCACGTGATCCCCTTTTGCGACCTTCTGACGAGCAAGGTCAATGGGGGAAGTGAGGTTCACTTAACAACCGTGTTCCTAACTTAAGAGCTGCAGCGATTCACTTAACAACTGTGGCAAGAAAAGTTGTAAAATGGGGCAGAACCTACGTAACAGTCTTACTTAGTGAATGTTTGAGCTCAGTTGTGATTGTACATTGAGGACTATGTGTAGTTCCTTGTGTATGTGTGTGTTGTCTTCTACAACGTCACAAAACGAGCCTGCCGTGTCTTCGGCCCTTCAATTATCATGTCTTTCTGCACTTTTCTCCAGGCTAAAAATATCTAATTTCTGCCTAGAGACCTCCTTGTTCAATATCCTTTCTAAAATGCCTTGTTAATATCCTCTCTAAGATGCATTTCCAAGAACTGGCTCTGATGTTCTGGATGTGAAGAAGAATTATACATTATTTGTGACGCTAGCTAGGATTGGATCTAATTTTTTTGGGCAGTTGCATAATATTTTTCGTTCCTCTTGAGCTTTGATTCATGGGGCACCTGTTGCTGTTCCTCATGAATTTGCCCCAACTGTTTTTTATATATATTGGTCAGCTCAAAGCAGAGATTGCATCTAATACTTGCTTCTTCTCTCCCCCCCCCCCCACAAGAACAACCCTTGTGAGGTGAGTTGGGTGGAGAAAGCACATGTGGCCCAAAGTCATCCAGCCGGATTTGCTGCCTAAAGCGGGACTAGAACTCCCTGTCTCCTGGTGATTGGCCCAAAGTCACCCAGCCGGGTTTCATGGCTAAGACAGGACTAGAACTCCCCGTCTCCTGGTGATTGGCCCAAAGTCACCCAGCCGGCTTTCATGCCTAAGGAGAGACCAGAATTTACCCTCGCCTGGTGATTGGCCCAAAGTCACCCACCTGGCTTTCATGTCTAAGGACTAGAACTCACCATCTCCTGGTGATTGGCCCAAAGTCACCCAGCCAGCTTTCATGGCTAAGGCGGGACTAGA